ATCAAAAGATCAAGAAATCGAGATATCAAAAAATTGAAAAATCTAAAATTTAAAATTTCCAAAAACAAACCGAAAAATCGAAAAATCTAAAATTTGGAAAATCGAAAATGAAAATGTCGAAAAACTGGGAAATTGAACAGTCGAAAAAATCAGCACATCTAAATCTCGATAAATCCAGACATCAAAAAATTGAAAAATCGAAACATTAAAAAAGCAAAAAATTTAAAAAGCCAAAAATTGAAAAATCCATAAATCAAACATTTTTTAAATGGAAAAACTGAAAAACCGAAAACTCAAAACACCAAAAAATTGAAAGAACATTTAAAAATTCTATAAATTGAAAAATAAAAAATCAAAGAACTGAAATATCAAAAAACCTAAAATTAAAAAATCAGGAAATCAAGAAAACGAAAATCGAAAAGGAAATAGAAAAATCTGAATATCGAAATATTGATAGTTCCAAAACTGAAATTTCGGAAAATTGATGACAGAAAAATTGAAAAATCAAAATATCGAAGTCAAAACATCGAAAAATTCAAAAGTCGAAAAGTCGGAAAACTGAACAGTTGAAAAATCAAATGATCGAAATCTTGATAAATCTAAAAAAAAGATAAACTGAAAAATCGAAAAATTAAAACGGTGAAAAAATTAAAAACCGAAGATTTGAAAAATCAAAAGATCAAGAAATCAAAAATTTTAAAAATGGAAAAATTGAAAAATCGAAAAATGCAAAACCGAGAATTCGAAAAATCGAAACCAAAAAATTCCAAAATCTAAAATTGAAAAATTCTAAAAATTGAAAAATCAAAAACTGTAAAAAATGGAAACACCGAAAAACCTAAAATTTAAGAAATCGAAATTTAAAATGTCAAAAAATTGAATAATCGAAAGAACTGAAAAATCGAGAAATCGAGAAAACGAAAAATCGAAGGGAAAATAGAAAAATCTCACAATCGAAATACTGAAAAAGTCCCAAAACCGAAATTTCAGAAAATTGATACATTGATAAATCGAAAAACCAAAGGATAGAAAAATTGAAAAATCAAAATATCGAAACATTTAAAAGTCGAAAAATCGAAAAATTGAACAGTTGAAAAATCAAAACATCGAAATCTCGATAAATCCAAAAAATGCATAAATTGAAAAATCAAAATTGTGAAAAAATAAAAAAATCTAAAATTTAAAAATTATAAAAACAGAAAAATCGAAAAATTAAAATGTCGAAAAATCAGCGCATCGAAACCTCCCTAAATCCAGAAATCAAAAAATTGAAAAATCGAAAAATTAAAAAAGGAAAAAATATCTAAAGCCAAAAATTGAAAAATCTGTAATTAAAAATTCTAAGAATTGAAAAATAACAAATCGGAGAACTAAAACATCGAAAACCCTGAAATTTAAAAAATCGAAAATTAAAATGTCAAAAAATTAAATAATCGAAAAAATTGAAAAATCGTGAAATCAATAAAACGAAAATCGAAGAGGAAATGAAATAGAAAAATTTGAAAATCGAAATATTGATAAAGTTTCAAAACTGAAATTTCGGAAAATTGATACATTGATAAATCGAAAAATTGAAGGAACGAAAAATTGAAAAATCAAAATATTGAAGTCAAAACATCGAAAAATTGAATAGTTGAAAAATCAAATCATCGAAATCTTGATAAATCCAAACAATGAATCAATTGAAAAAGCGAAAAATTAAAATAGTGAAAAAATTAAAAACCGAAAATTCGAAAAATCAAAAGATCAAGAAGTCAAGATATCAAAAAATTGAAAAATCTAAAATTTAAAAATTCTAAAAACTAAAAAATCGAAAAATTAAAATAGTGAGAAAATTAAAAACCGAAGATTTGAAAAATCAGAAGATCAAGAAATCAAAAATATTGAAAATGGAAAAATTGAAAAACCGAAAAATCCAAAACTGAGAATTCGAAAAATCGAAACCAAAAAATTGAACAATCTAGAATTGAAAAATTCTAAAAATTGAAAAATCAAAAATTGAAAAACTGAAACATCGAAAAACCTAAAATTTAAGAAATCGAAATTTAAAATGTCAAAAAATTGATTAATCGAAAGAACTGAAAAATCGACAAATCAAGAAAACGAAAAATCGAAGGGAAAATAGAAAAATTTCACAATGGAATTACTGAAAAAGTCCCAAAACCGAAATTTCGGAAAATTGATACATTGATAAATCGAAAAATTAAAGGATAGAAAAATTGAAAAATCAAAATATCGAAGTCAAAAAATCGAAACATTTAAAAGTCGAAAAATCGAAAAATTGAATAGTTGAAAAATCAAAACATCTAAATCTCGATAAAAATGGATAAATTGAAAAATCGAAAAATCAAAATAGTGAAAAAATTAAAAACCGAAAATTTGAAAAATCAAAAGATCAAGAAATCAAAAAATTGAACAACATCGAAATATTGAAAAAGTCCCAAAACTGAAATTTCGGAAAATTGATACATTGATAGATAAGTCGAAAAATTGAAGGTCAGAAAAATTGAAAAATCAAAATATCGAAATAAAAAAATCGGAAAAATCGAAAAGTCGGGAAATTGAATAGTTGAAAAATCAAAACATCGAAATCTCGATAAATCCAAACAATGAATCAATTGAAAAAGCGAAAAATTAAAATAGTGAAAAAATTAAAAACCGAAAATTCGAAAAATCAAAAGATCAAGAAGTCAAGATATCAAAAAATTGAAAAATCTAAAATTTAAAAATTCTAAAAACAGAAAAATCGAAAAATTAAAATGTCGAAAAACTGGAAAGTCGAAAAATCAGCACATCGAAACCTCCATAAATCCATAAATCAAAAATTTTAAAAATGGAAAAATTGAAAAACCGAAAAATCGAAAACCCAGAACTAGAAAAATCGAAAGATAGAAAACTCGAAACACCAAAAAATTGAAAAATCTATAACTAAAAATTCTAAGAATTGAAAAATCGAAGAACTAAAATGTCAAAAAATTTAATAATCGAAAAAACTGAAAAATCGAGAAATCAAGAAAACCAAAAATCGAAGGGAAAATCGAAAAATTTGAGAATCGAAATGTTGAAAAAGTCCCAAAACTGTCAGTTCGGAAAATTAACACATTGATAAATCGAAAAATTGAAAAATCAAAATATCGAAGTCAAAAAATCGAAAAATTCAAAAGTCGAAAAGTCGGGAAATTGAACAGTTGAAAAATCAAAACATCGAAATCTCAAAAATCCAAAAAATGGATAGTGAAAAATCAAAAGATCAAAAAATTGCGATACCAAAAAATTGAAAAATCTAAAATTTAAAAATTCTAAGAACTAACACAGGAAAATCGAAAAATGGAAAAACGAAAAATCTATAATTAAAATGTCGACAAATTGAAAGATCGAAAAGAAAAAAATCGACAAATCGAAACGCAAGGTCGAAATAATTAGAGTCGAAATGTTGAAAAATCTCAAAACTTAAATATCGAAAAATGGCGAAAAACTCAAAATTCGAAGAATCAAAAAGCCCGAAATTTTAAAAATCCAAAAATTGAAAAATCAGAAAATAAAAAATTGAGAAATCGAGAATTTTAAAACATCCCGCAAATGAAGAAGCCAAAAACTGAAAAATCGCAAAATTTAAGTAGAAATATTGTATTTGAAGAAATCGGAAAATCGAATAATTGGAAAACTCAAAAATGGCAAAATTTAAAAATTAGAAAATCGAGGATTGAAAATTTAAAAATTCTAAATTAAAAATGTATAAACTCAAAAAGCGAAAAAATCGAAAATTGTCATACCGGAATACAAATCAAAACATTGAAGAAACGAAAAATTGAAAAATTTGGAAGCCGAGAATTTGAAAAATTGAAGCTGAAAAAACGAAAAATTATGAAATTAGAACACTGAAAAATGGAAATATAGAAAAGTAAATCCAGATTTTTCTAAAAATCGCAACAATTACAAAATTGAAAAATTGAACTATAAAATCGAAAAACTGAAAAAGCAGAAAAGTCTAAAACCAAAAAATTACTAGAATTTAAAAATCGAAAATTGCGAAATCAAGAACTTGGAAGATTGAAAATCGAAATTTTGAGAATTTAAAAAATCACAAAATTGGCAAAACGAAACAAGAAACTCGGATTGTACTTGAAAAATTAAAAATTGAATAAATGAAAAAATGGAATATTTAAAAAAACGACGAATTACAAAAAACTGCAAAAAAGTAAAAATCAAACACTTGAATTCAAATTTTGAACGATTAAAAATTACAAAATTGTAAAATTACAAAATTATTAAAAATCGAAAATTGAAAAAGTGATTCAATAAAAGTGCAAAATTATAAATGGAAAATTCCAAATCAAAATTTTGAAATACTAAAAATACCTTTAAAAACAAAAATATCAAAAACTTGAAGAAAATTAAATTGAAATTTTAAACAATTCAAAATTAAAAAAATATGAAATGAAAATGAAACATTATAAAATTGAAAAATCGAATAATCATAAAATCGAAAAATTGCAAAATCTCCGCTGAAAACTCAGCATAGATTCATAAACTACACATGTAGTACATTATTTTATAAAATTTAAAACCGATTTGTCATGTACAACTTTGAGGTGACGTCATCACATTGTTGGGAATGATTAGACAAAGTTGGATTAGCGTTTTACCATCTACATTGTATCCATAAGGCACATACAAAGTTTGGCAACAATCAGTTTGGTAGTTTCAAAGCTTATCTCCCTAATTAAACTTAACACAGACGACAGACATACAGTAGAAACCAAGCATCTGCCTGTATTACAATTAAAAGAGGTCTTATTGATGTAGAAAAAAGTTTCTTTTTTGTTTGTAATTTACTCTTTTTTCTTTCACACGTAGCAAAAATTGTGCATATTTTGAACATTTTGACAAATATTTGTGCATATAAATCAGCTCTTGGGTCATGAGACCGGTCAAAATCCAGCCTTTTTATCACAGGTCATGACCCCCACATTATCAAAAAAAACATGAAATACAATTACCACCGTTGCAGCTTTGTTTACATAGCGAAACTGCTTTCCCCCAACCAAAAACTCGTCGTTATTCTTCAAAACTTGCTCCTTCTTCATTTTCGTTCCATTATATAAAACAGCTTGTTTGCACTTATTTTCCAAAACAGCCTAAAACACACTAAATTAACTCCAACTCAACACACAATCCTAGGGCGTCCCACCGTTCCGTTGTCCTTCACATCTAAAACACAAAACACTGGCTCCGAAGCCAGACTTTTCGATTTAATCCGAATGTCGTACGATAAGGCCGATCCGATGGTTGTCGGTCCGGGTTCCAGGAAATACTTCAGGGGCGATTTTCCCGTTTTGGGTTGAAACTCCAAGTATCCCAGCTGGGCGGATTTCATTTTGACAGAAACCGACTAAAATGGGCGGTTATGTATCGAAGTGGTGATGTTTGAGTGAGGGAAGGTGGCTTGGGTGGAAATTACTTACTTAATTAACGCTTTTCACGAATATTTAAACCGTTACAATACGAAAAAACGCGGAAAACTAACACTACTGTTTTCAACCGTTACTTGTAGCGTCCATCGCTTCACTTGGCGTCTGTTGTTTGAAAATAACGGTCAGTCACGTTGCGCTGCAGGGATGCCAACGTATCAACCTAAGAATAATAAAAACTCAATGAAAAACCAGTCTGTTTAGTTTAACGAAATTTTATTAATAAACTACGTATAAATATAAACTTGTATTAAAGGAGAACAAAAGGGCTAAAATTCAGTAATTAGTGACAAATTCCGAATATTTTTTGTTTTTATTTCAATATATACCATAGGTGTTCCAAAATTAAGGAACAGGATTTAGATACAGTTATAAGGGGAGCCATTATTTACAACTTTCTGTTTTTACATCGAAAATCCCTATGTTCCAAAAACGATTCTACACTCTGTATAATAATTCTCTTAAAAATTGTTTTATTTTTCATAACATTGGAAACACCTAAATTTCGTCGAAAAAGCGAAAAATCCAAAAATTGAAATGTTGAAAAGTTAACAAATCTAAAACTCAAAAAAAAACGAGAAATCGAAAAATTGAAAAATTTTAAACATCCAAAAAAATAAGAAAATTGAAAATTGAAAATTGGAAACTGAAATTTCGAGAAATTGGGAAATCTAAAACCGAGAAGTCAAAAAATCGACAGATCGAGAAACCGAAACGTCAAAAATAAAAAAATCTAAAATTTAAATATTCTAAAAATTGAAAAATTGAAAAATCGGAGAAGTGAAAAATAAAAAAAAAATCAAAAAACAAAAAACTAGATCATTGAAAATTAAAAAAGTGAAAAATTTAAAAACTCAAAACTTGAAAAATCGATAGATCAAAAATGTTAAAAATCAAAAAATAAAAAAAACCGAAAAATTCAAAACCGAGCAGTCGAAAAATTGAAAGATCGAGCATCAACGTAAAATTGAAAAATCCAGAAATTGAAAAATTCCCAAAATTGAAATATGTATTGAAAAATGACAAATCGAAAACTTGAAAAATCAAGAAATCGAAAGATTGAAAAATTTTAAAAATCGAAAAATCGAGATGTCGAGAAATCTAAAAAACGAAAAGCCGAAAAACTAAGAAATCGAAAAATGAAAAATTTTTAAAATCGGAAAATTGAAAAGTCGAAAAATCTAAAACCGAGAAGTAATAATAATAATAATAATAATTTTATTCTACCCTTTAGCATACAATATAAGTACATTGGGTCGTCAAAATATTACATTTAGAAAATACAGATACAAGTATAAAAAAGTGGAAAAAGTGGAAGAAGTGGAAAAATCGAAAGAACGCGAAACCGAAACGTGAGAAAATAGAAAAATCTAAAATTTCAAATTTCAAAAAACTAAAAAATAGAAAAATCGAAGAACTGAAGAATCGAAAAATCTAAAATTTAAGAAATCGGAAATTAAAAAGACGAAAAATTTGGAAACCAAAAATATATAAAACCGAGAAATCAAAAATTTCAGAAATTGGAAAATTGAAAAAATTAAAAATCTAAACCCGCCAAGTCGAAAAATCGAAAGATCGAGAGATTGAACGTGAAAAAATTGCAAAAATCTAGAGTTTAAGAATTCTAAAAACTGGAAAATAGAAAAATCGAAGAAGCGAAAAATAAAAAAAAAAATAAAATTTCAAAAATCAAAAATTTAAACGTCGATAAATTGAAGAATCGAAATATGAAAAATCGAAAAAGAAAAATTTAAAAACCCACAAATTTGAAAAATCAATAAAACAAAAATTTTAAACAACGGAAAATTGGAACACTGAAAAATCCAAAACCGAGAAGTGGAAAAATCGGAATATCAAAAAATTGAAAAATCTAAAATTTAAAAATTCTAAAAATTGAAAAATTAAAAATCGAAAAACCGAGAAGGAAAAATTAAGAAAACAAAAAATCGAAGCCAAAAGAGAAAAATTTCAGAATCGAAATTTTGAAATGTCTCAAAACTGAAAATTCGGAAAACTGATAACTTGATTGATAAATCGAAAAATTTGAGAATAGAAAAATTGAAATGTCAAAAAACCGGCAAATTGAATAGTTGAAAAGTCAAAACATCGGAATCTCGATAAATCCAAAAAATGGAAAAATTGAAAAATCGAAATTTAAAAAAAGCGAACAATTTAAGAACCGAAAATTTGAAAAATTTATAAATCAAAAATTGTAAAAACCAAAAAATGTAAAACTGACAAGGCGAAAAATCAAAACATCATAAAATTAAAAAATCTAAACTTTAAAAATTCTAAAATCTGAAGAATTGAAAAATCGAAGAACTGGAAAATCGAAAAATCTCTATTTTAAAAACCGAAAATTAGAATGTCGAAAAATTGAAAAATCGGAAAAGAAAAATCAGGGAATCGAAACACAAAATCGAGAAAATTAAGAGTCGAAATGTTGATAAATCCCAAAACTAAAATACAGAAAAATTGATAAATCGAAAAACTGAAAAATCGAAGAAAAAATGAAGAATCGAAAAGTCGAAAATTTATCAAAAAATTAAAAATTTTAAAAATCCAAAAATTGAAAAACCTAGAAACCGAATACCAAAAACTGAAGAATGGAAAAATTGAAAAATCGTAAAACGGAAATATTAGAAAATTGAAAAATCGAAGAAATTAAAAATTTTAAAAAATCCTGAAATCGAAGAAGCGAAAAACTGAAAAATCTCAAAATTGAAGTAGGTGTCGAAAAACGAAATAATCGAAAAATTGAAAATCAAGAAACTGAAAAATTGAAAAACCGAAAAATTTTAAACCAAGAAGTCGCAAAATCGAAAAATCGAAACATCAAAAAATTGAAAAACCTAAAATTTAAAAATTCTAAAAATTTAAATCTAGAAAAATCGAGGGACTGGAAAATCGAAAAATCTAAAATTCAAAAAATCGAAAATTAAAATGTTGAAAAATTGAAGAATCGAAAATTGAAGAATCGAATCATCAAAATATCGAAAAATTAAAAAATCTAGGAATCGGAATCTAAGAAAAAGTGACGAATCGAAAAATCGAAAATTTAAAAAATCGAAAAATTGGAAAACTGAAAAATCGAAAAATAAATTCGTGAAATCGCAACGAAACGTCGAAAAATTTCTGAAACAAAATGTTGAAAAATCCCAAAACTGAAACACCGAAAAATTGATAAATCAAAATTCGAACTATTAAAAATCCAAAAATTGAAAAACTAAGAAACCGAAAATTTAGAAACGTCAAAAATGTAAATAAGAAAAATCGAAGAAGTGGAAAATCGAAAAATCTAAAATTCAAAAAATCGAAAATCAAAATGTTGAAAAATTGAAGAATTGAAACAAAATATCGAAAAATTGAAAAATCGGAAAAGAAAAATCTAGAAATCGAAATGCAAAATCAAAAAAATTAAGAGTCCAAATGTTGATAAATCTGAAATATCGAAAAATTGATAAATCGAGAAACTGAAAAATCGAAGAAAAAATAAAGAATCGAAAATTTATCGAAAAATCAAAAATTTTAAAAATCGAAAATTTGGAAAACTGAGAAGTCGAAAAAAATTCGTGAAATCGCAACAAAACGTCGAAAAATTTAATAAATCAAAAAATCGAAAAATCAAGAAACCGAACAATCCAAAATTTGGAAATGCCAAAAATTGAAAGCCTGAAAAATCGAAAAACTAAAGAATTGAAAAACTGAAAAATCATAAAACGGAAATACATATCAGAAATTGAAAATTTTAAAAAATCCTGGAATTGAAGAAAAACAAAAAACTGAAAAATCCCAAAACGAAGTAATCGAAAAATTCAAAATCAAGAATTAGAAAAATTCAAAAACCGAAAAATTGAAAAATTCTAAAAATTTAAACATAAAAAATCGAAGAACTGGAAAGTCGAACAATCTAAAATTCAAAAAATCGAAAATTAAAATGTTGAAAAATTGAAGTATCGAATCATCAAAATATCGAAAAATTGAAAAATCGAATTAGAAAAAATCTAGAAATCGAAATGCAAAATCGAAAAAATTGAGAGTCGAAATGTTGAATTAGATAAACCCAAAACTGAAATATCGAAAATTGATAAATCGAGAAACTGAAAAATCGAAGAAAAAATAAAGAACTGAAAAATTGAAAATTAATGTAAAAATAAAAAATTTTAAAAAGCGAAAAGTTGGAAAACTGGAAAATCGAAAAGAAAAAATACTGAAATCGCGTAAAAATTTAAGAATCGAAATGTTGAAAAATCAAAAACTGAAACATCGAAAAATTGTTAAATCAAAAAATCGAAATGTTAAAAATCCAAAAATTGAAAAATCAAGAAACCGAACAATCCAAAATTTAGAAACGCCAAAAACTGAAATACTGAAAAATCGAAAAACTGAAGATTTGAAAAATCATAAAACGGAAATATGTATCAGAAAATTGAAAAATCGAAAAATAAAAAATTAAGAAATTGAAAATTGGAGAAGCGAAAAACTGAAAAATCGCAAAATTGAAGTAGGTGTGGAAAAACGAAGTAATCGAAAAATTTAAAAATCAATAAATAGAAAAAATTGAAAAACCGGAAAATTTAAAAATTGTAAAAATTTAAATATAGAAAAATCGAAGAACTGGAAAATCCGAAAATCTAAATTAAAAAAATCGAAAATTAAAATGTCGAAAAATTGAAGAATCGACATGCAAAATCGAAAAAATTAAGAGTCGAAGTGTTGATAAATCCCGAAATTGAAATATTGAAAAATTGATAATTCGAAAATTTTAAAAATCCAAAAATTGAAAAATCAAGAAATTGAACAATCGAAAAATCAAAAAATCGATTAATCCAGAAATCGAAAATTTAGCAAACGTCAAAAATTGAAATATGTATGAAAAATCAAAAAATTGTGGAAAATATCGCAAAATAAAAAATCCCGAAATTGAAGAAGCGAAAAACTGATAAATCCCAAAATTGAAGTAGGTAGATCGAAAAACAAAGTAATCGAAAAATTGAAAATCAAGAAATCGAAAAATCTAAGACTGAAAATTTCTAAAAGTTGAAGAGCTAAAAAATCGAAAGATAAGAAATCGAAAAGTCGAGAAATCGAGAGTTGAAAAATCGAATAATTGTTATACAATTTTGATTAGCTTTTTCAAAAATCTCAATGTCTAGGATAAAAATTCAACACGGATCCATAAACTGTTAATTTTTAACATTTACATAACATTTATTCGACAAAATTGTAAACCACAAAAGGGTAAATACGTTATTTCATAAAATTTAAATACCATTTACTATTCATTTTTTCGTACTGTGTAGGGGTCATGGAACGTCAAGAAAACATAAAAGTAGTCGGTCGTCCGATGGACTCGATTACAATACTTCCTTAGCTTACCCTCAGGAAGTAAAAAACACCAGCACCCATGAGTATGGTCCCCAACACCAGAAACAAGAATTATACATACTTACTAAATGTAGGCAACCAACTATACACATTGCACAACGTAATCTAAATAAAACAACAAAACAGCAATCATTGCAACCTGTTTATTTATAAATGTTAACTCCATTGATCAAATAAATCGCTTCATTATCACACCCACACAAAACCTTGTTCCTATTAACATCCAAACTATTAACAGGCTTATGCAACTTGGGCATAAGGGTAAAAACGTCCAACTTATTTTTAATGGTCTCCGACGCCAACCAAATATTCTCCGCATTCCCTAGACTCAAACTAGACACGCCCCCACTTTTCGGCGACCAGTGCCAAATATCCCCAGCTGTGGAACACGTAAACAACTGATCCGGATGATCCAGATGGAAGTGTATCTCCATAACTCCCCCCTCATGTGCATCCAGTAAATTCACCGGGTAAGTATTCTGGCGCAAATCCCAGATGGTTATTGACCCTACAACAATCACACCATTACTTCTACCATGAATTAAAAAATTAAAACCTTTACCCTCCTCATCCCCAGCCACCACCAAATGCCTCTGCGTCGGGTGATTTTGCAAACAAAGCGGCGACACTTGGTCCCCACTCAACATAAACGTGTTCGACGCTTCATTCGACGAAACCCTGATGTCAAAAATCTTCAACTGCCCCCGCAAATTCCCCGTCAAAATCTCGCTGTGCTTCAAAAACGTGACACAATGAATCGAGCAACTGTCTGCGTTTTCAATAGTGCGAACGACGTTCTGGTTGTTCGAATTCAACAAATTAATATTCCCGTCCTCCCCTACGCTGACTATGTCGTTGTCGTAGGTGCAGAACGCCGTACAAGGACTGATTTCGTCGTTCGGGAATTTGTGAATGCCTTCCCAACGGATTTTTGACTCAATCACTGGCTCCAGACCGTGTTCTGAGCTGATTTTCATCAAGTGGACGGAGCCTTGGGACGACGATGTCACGAAAAAGTCGCCGTTTAAAAACTAGAAAATATGTAGTGATTTAAGTTGGATGATGTGGGGGCACTCACTTTAAGCTCGGTGATGTCGCCTTTGTGGGGCAGTTCGGTGACTAAGAAGGGGTAGATTTCGGCGTCTTCTTCGTTTTCTTGGAAGTCCCAAAGTTTGATGGCGTTTTGGTCGTTGTCCCAACTCCCGGTTACGAAGTAGTGGGAATCGTTCATGAAGTCGGGGCGCCAGCGGATTTTGTTGATTTTCTCGGAGACGAACGTCCCGTGGATGTTGTGGGTCATTTTGAGTGAAATAGCGCTAAATTGTTCGAAGGGGGCTGTTTGGGAAAAGTGAGGTTAGATTGTAATTTGAAAAATATGTTGGTACTGCTGTTCTAACCAGCGTTAGGGTGCAGGGAGAGCGGTAAATTTAAATCGCAGTTGTGTTGTCTCAAGGTTTGTAGAAAAAAATTCGAAAAATTTGAAAAAAAAATATTAAAATATCAACGATATAAAAAAAATTGAAACATGATTTTGTTGACTCGCATCCCACATCTCAGAGTGAATTATAAATTTAAATTTATGTTGGCAACATCGTCACTAAGCGCGGTGTTTTCAAATTTACATGGACACAGTAGTTAAAAACGTAAAATGACAACCAAAACTGTCAACTTGTCAAATATATAAGATTTTCTCAGCTCAAATGTCAATTAATTCATAACCTCAAAAAGGGTAAGGGCAGTTCTAGTTATAACTAAAATTGCTAAAGGTCGTTTTATAATGTTAGGGGTAGTTAATCTAAGCGTGGCCAACCGAGATGTGAAAAATTCTGAAGTGTACTCTACCTATTTCAATAAAAAGGGCTAAAATAAAAATAAACTGACTAAAAAAAAAGCAAAAAGTGACCAAAAAATGCCACAAAAAAAGGCAAAAAAGCTGACAAAAAGTCAATAAAAAAATGTGACCAAAAAGTCACTAACAAAAAGATTTAAAAAATACGAAAAAGAGAACTAAAAAAGTTCCAAAAAAGGCGACAAAGACCACAAAAAAGACACAAAAGTTTTCCTAAAAATACAACAAAGGAAAGCCACAAGGATGCCAGAAAAATGCCAAAAATTCGCCAAAAGAGTTGGAAAAAAAACAGCAAAGAATGACCAAAAAAGCTAGAAAGAAAAGGATTAAGAAAATACAGAAAAAGGGAGACTGAAAAAAAGGTCACCAACAAAATTGGTAAGGGTGAGAAAAATCAAAAAGAAAAAAATGTCACAAAAAATGTAATAAAAAAAGCAAAAAAAAAATGAGAATAAAATACTTTTAAAAAAGCGACAAGAAAAATTAAGAAAAACAAAAAATCGCTACGAAAAATCTACAAAATAAGAACATTTTTTTTTTTTAACGACAAAAAAGGGACATAAAACGCGTCAAAAAAAGGTGACAAATGCAACAAAAAAGATGCAAAAAAACGATGACAAAAAATTGGACAAAACAAGTAAGAAAAAAACAATTAGAAAAAAAAGGGCAAAAAAAACAGCAAACAAATACAGAAAATAGAATATAAAATATAAAAAAAAATTAAAAACCTAGAAGTCGAAAAATCGAAAGATCAAGAAACCGAAACATCAAAAAATTGAAAGGTCTAAAATTCAAAAATTCGAAAAATTGAAAAATATGTAGAAAAATCGAAAAACTGGAAAATCGAAAATTTAAAAACCTGAAAATTAAAATGTCGAAAAATTGAAGAATCAAAACATCAGAATATCGAAAAATTGAAAAGTCGAATAGAAAAATTTCCTGAAATCGAAACGCAAATTCGAAAAATACCAAAACTGAAATATCAAAAAATCGAAAAACTGAAAAATCGAAGAAAAAATGAAAAATCGAAAAATTTAAAGATTAAAAAATCGAAAATCTTAGAAATTCAATAATTGAAACAATGAAAAATCGAAAAACTGAAAAATCGAAAACTGGAAAAATCGTAAAACCAAAATATTGGAGAATTGAAAAATCGAGAAATCGAAAAGGAAAAATCAAGAAAACGAAACATCGAAGTGAAAATAGAAAAATTTGAGGATTGAAATGTTGAAAAGTCCCAAAACAGAAATTTCGGAAAATGGATAAATTGACTGATAAATCGAAAAATTGAAAAATCAAAATATCGAAAAGTCGAAAAATTGAAAAGCAGAAAAATCGAAAATCTTAAAAATTCAAAAATGGAAAATTCGGAAACGTCCAAAATTGCAATAATGAAAAATCGAAAAACTGAAGAATGGGAAAATTGAAAAATCATAAAACGAAAAATTGAACCGAAAATAGAAAAATTTGAGAATTGAAATATTGAAAAGTCTCAAAACTGAAATTTCGGAAAATTGATAAATTGACAAATAAAAAAATTGAAAAATCGAAAAATCGAAGAAAAAATGAAGAAACGAAAAACTGAAAGAAATATTGTAGAATTGAAAAATCGAAAAGGAAAAGTCAAGAAAACGAAAAATCGAACCGAAAATAGAAAAATTTGAGAATTCAAATGTTGAAAAGTCCCAAAACAGAAATTTCGGAAAATTAATAAATTGATAAATCGAAAGACTGAAAAATCAAAATATTGAAAAGTTGAAAAATCGAAAAACTGAACGATTAAGGAATCGATGTCAAAAATCGAAAATCTAAAAATTTGAAAAATTGAAAAATCAAAGAAATTGAACAATCGAAAAAATTTAAAGTAGAAAAATCGAAGAATTTGCAAATCGAAAGTTTAAAAAGTTGAAAATTAAAATGTCGAAAAATTGAAAAGAAAAAATTCGTGAAATCGAAACGCATAGTCGAAAAATTTAAGAATCGAAATGTTGAAAAATACCAAAACTGAAATACCAAAAAATTGATAAATCGGAAAATCGAAGAAAAAATGAAGAATCGAAAAAGTGAAAGATTAAGAAATCGATAAGTCGAAAAATCCAAAATCTTAAAATTTCAAAAATTGAAAAATCAAGAAATTGAACAATCGAAAAATCGAAAAATTGATTAAACCAGAAATCGAAAATTTAGGAACGCCCACAGTTGAAATAATGAAAAATCGAAAAATTGAAAAATCGTAAAATGGAAATATGTATTGGAAAATTGAAAAATCGAAAAATCGAAAAGGAAAAATCAAGAAAACGAAAAATCGAACCGAAAATAAAAAAATTTGAGAATTGAAATATTGAAAAGTTCCAAAACTGAAATTTCGGAAAATTGATACATTGACTGACAAATCAAAAATTTGAAAAATCAAAATATTGAAAAGTTGAGAAATCGAAAAATTGAAGAAAAAATGAAAAATCGAAAAACTAAAAGATTAGAAATCGATTAGTCGAAACTCGAAAATCTAAAAAATTGAAAAATTGAAAAATCAACAAATTGAACAATCGAAAAATTGATTAAACCAGAAATCGAAAATTTTAGAAACATCCAAAATTGAAATATGTATTGAAAAATCGTAAAACGGAAATATTGGAAAATTGAAAAATTGATAAATCGAAAGGAAAAAATAAAGAAAACGAAAAATCAAAGTGAAAATAGAAAAATTTGAAGATTTAAATGTTGAAAAGTGCCAAAACACAAATTTTGGAAAATGGATAAATTGACTGATAAATCGAAAAATTGAAAAATCAAAATATCGAAAAGTTGAAAATTTTAAAAATCGAAAAATTGAAAAGTAGAAAAATCGAAGAATTGGAAAATCGAAATTTTAAAAAGTTGAAAATTAAAATGTCGAAAAATTGAAAAGAACAAATTCGTGAAATCGAAACGCAAAGCCGAAAAATTTAAGAATCAATGTTGAAAAATACCAAAACTGAAATATCAAAAAATTGAAAAATCTAAGTGAAAATAGAAAAATTTGAGAATTGAAATGTTGAAAAGACCCAAAACTGAAATTTCGGAAAAGTGATACATTGATAAATCGAAAAATTGAAAAATCAAAATATCGGAAAGTCGAAAAATCGAGAAATTGAACATTTCAAAAATCAAAACATCGAAATCTCGACAAATCTAAAAAATGGAAAAATTTTAAAATTTTAAAATAAAAAAAAACGAAAATTTAAAACAGAAATTTCGATAAATCGAAAAACCAAAAATTGACTAAAAAAAGCGCCAAATAAAAGTTCAAGAAGTTATTTAAAAAACTGTAACAAGAAAAAGCCATAAAAACACGAAAAATGGACGACAAAAAAGGCACTTAAAAGACAACAGAAAGGTTTCCAAAAAAGGGCGAGAAAATAGCAACAAAAAGAGGCAACCAACAAAAAGTGACAAAAAAGTCTACAAAAAAAAAGAGAAGAAGGACAAAAAACATAGCAAACAAATACGCCAAATAAGCACGACAAAAAAAGTAAAAAGAAAATAGAACATTTAAAAAAAAATTAAAAACCTAGAAGTCGAAAAATCGAAAGATCGAGAAAGTGAAACATTAAAAAATTGAAAGATCTAAAATTTAAAAAATTGAAAATTAAAGTGTCCAAAAATTGAAGAATCAAAACAACAGAATATCGAAAAATTGAAAAATTTGGAAGGTCGAATAGAAAAATTTCCTGAAATCGAAACGCAAAGTCGAAAAATTTAAGAATCGATAAAAATACCAAACTGAAATATCAAAAAACTGAAAAATCGAAGAAAATCTTAAAAATTCAAAATTTGAACAATCGAAAAATTAAAAATTGGAAAATTAAAAATAAAAAAAATTGGTACATTGAAAAATAATAAAAAAAGAAAAATCGAAATCTCGATAAACTAAGATTTCGAAAAACTGAAAAATTGAAGAAAACCTGAAAAATCGGAAAATTGAAGAATTAATAATCTGAAAATCGAAAAATCGAGACGTTTAAGAAAAGTCGGGAAATAGGGAAATGGGAAAGTCAAAACCTCGAAAAGATGAAAACTCGATTAACTGAGAAATCGAAATATTAAAAAATCGTAAAACAGAAATATCGGAAAATTGAGAAACATTTTAAAATAAAAATTCGAGAAATTGAAAAATTGAAGAAATGAAGACTAAAAATCGAGAAATCGAGACGTTTAAGCAATCAAAACATCGAACAGTCGAGAAATCGAGAAATGAGAAAATTAAACAGAAGAAAAATCGGTTAATAGAAAATTAGCAACGCAAAAAATAAAAAAATCAAAAACACTTAAAATTGAAAAATCATAAAACAGAAATATCGGAAAATGGTGAGAAGCCTAAAAATAAAAAAGTCGAAAAATCGGAAATCTAAAAAATAGAGAAATTGAAGAATCGAAAAATTTTAGAATTGAAACGTTAAAAAATCCCAAAACTGAAATACAGAAAAATCGAAAACTTGAATCGAAAAACTGAAAATCGAATTGAAAAAGTAGAAAAGTCAAAAAAATCGAGAAATCGGAAAGACGAAAAATTGATTAATCGAAAATTCAGAAGCGCCAAAAATTGAAAAATCAGAAAACTGAAAAATCGTTAAACAGAAATATCGGAAAATTGAGAGAAATCCAAAAATGAAAAGTTAAGAAATCGAAAATTAAAAAAAAAGATAAATTGAAGAATAAAAAAATTGAGCAATCCCAAAGTTGATGTATAGAAAAATGAAGTGATCGAAAAATTGAAAAGGGGAAAATCAATCGAAAACTTTAAGAATCGAAAAATTGAAAAAGTGAAAATCGAGAAATCGAAAAATTTAAGAATCGAATGTTGAAAAATCTGAAAACCGAAATATGGAAAAATAGAATAAAATTGAAGAATCGAAATGTTGAAAAATCCCAAAACTGAAATAACGAAAACATGGAGAAATCGAAAAATTGAATCGAAAAACTGTAAAATCGAAAAAATGAATTGAAAAACTGAAAATCGAATTGAAAAAGTGCAAAAGTAAAAAAATCGAGAAATCGGAAAGACGAAAAATTGATTAATCGAAAATTCGGAAGCGCCAAAAATTGAAAAATCAAAAAACTGAAAAATCGTAAAACTGAAATATCGGAAAATTGAGAGGAATCCAAAAATAAAAACTCAAGAAATCGAAAGTTAAAAAAAATATATATAAATTGAAGAATAAAAAAAATTGAGCATTCCCAAAATTAATGTATGTATAGAAAAATGAAGTGATCGAAAAATTGAAATGGGGAAAATCGTGATATCGAAAAATTTAAGAATCGAAGTATTGAAAAGGTGAAAATCGGGGAATTAAAAAATTTAAGAATCGAAATGTTGAAAAATCTGAAAACCGAAATATGGAAAAATAGAATAAAATTGAAGAATCGAAATGTTGAAAAATCCCAAAACTGAAATAAGGAAAACATGAAGAAATCGAAAAATCGAAAAATTTAATCGACAAACTGTAAAATCAAAAAAATGAATTGAAAAACTGAAAATCGAATTGAAAAAGTGGAAAAGTCAAAAAAATGGAGAAATCGGAAAGACGAAAAATTGATTAATCGAAAATTCAGAAGCGGCAAAAATTGAAAAATCAAAAAACTGAAATATCGGAGAATTGAGAGAAATCTAAAAATAAAAAGTCAAGAAACCGGAAATTAAAAAAAAATGATAAATTGAAGAATAAAAAAAATGAGCAATGCCAAAATTGATGCATGTATAGAAAATGAAGTGATCGAAAAATTGAAAAGGGGAAAATCGTGAAATCGACAAATTTACGAATCGAAAAATTGAAAAGGTGAAAATCGGGGAATTAAAAAATTTAAGAATCGAAATGTTGAAAAATCTGAAAAGCGAAATATGGAAAAATAGAATAAAATTGAAGAATCGAAATGTTGAAAAATCTCAAAACTGAAATAACGAAAACATGGAGAAATCGAAAAATCGAAAAATTGAATCGACAAACTGGAAAATTGAAAAAATGAATTGAAAAACTGAAAATCGAATTGAAAAAGTGCAAAAGCCAAAAAAAATAGAGAAATCGGAAAGACGAAAAATTGATTAATCGAAAATTCAGAAGCGGCAAAAATTGAAAAATCAAAAAACTGAAATATCGTAGAATTGAGAGAAATCCAAAAATAAAAAGTCAAGAAACCGAAAATTAACCAAAAATATGATAAATTGAAGAATAAAAAAAATGAGCAATGCCAAAATTGATGTATGTATAGAAAATGAAGTGATCAAAAATTGAAAAGGGGAAAATCGTGATATCGAAAAATTTAAGAATCGAAATATTGAAAAGGTGAAAATCGAGGAATTGAAAAATTTAAGAATCGAAATGTTGAAAAATCTGAAAACCGAAATATGGAAAAACAGAATAAAATTGAAGAATCGAAATGTTGAAAAATCCCAAAACTGAAATAACGAAAACATGGAGAAATCGAAAAATCGAAAAATTGAATCGACAAACTGGAAAACTGAAAAAATGAATTGAAAAACTGAAAATCGAATTGAAAAAGTGGAAAAGTAAAAAAATCGAGAAATCGGAAAGACGAAAAATTGATTAATCGAAAATTCAGAAGCGCCAAAAATTGAAAAATCAAAAAACTGAAAAATCGTAAAACAGAAATATCGGAAAATTGAGAGAAATCGAAAAATAAAAAGTCAAGAAATCGAAAATTAAAAAAAATGATAAATAATTGAAGAATAAAAAAATTGAACAATCCCAAAATTGAGGTATCTATAGAAAAATGAAGTGATTGCAAAATTGAAAAGGGGAAAATCGTAAAATCGAAAAATTGAAAAGGTGAAAATCTAGAAATCGAAAAATTTAATAATCGAAATGTTGAAAAATCTCAAAACCGAAATATGGAAAAACAGAATAAAATTGAAGAATCGAAATGTTCAAAAATCCCAAAACTGAAATAACGAAAATATGGAGAAATCGAAAAATTGAATCGACAAACTGGAAAATCGAAGAAATGAATTGAAAAACTGAAAATCGAATTGAAAAAGTAGAAAAGTCAAAAAAACCGAGAAATCGGAAAGACGAAAAATTGATTAATCGAAAATTCAGAAGCGCCAAAAATTGAAAAATCAAAAAACTGAAAAATCGTAAAACTGAAATATCGGAAAATTGAGAGAAATCCAAAAATAAAATGTCAAGAAATCGAAAGTTAAAAAAAAATGATAAACTGAAGAATACAAAAATTGAGCAATCCCAAAATTGAGGTATGTATAGAAAAATTAAGTGATTGAAAAACTGAAAAGAGGAAAATCGTAAAATCGAAAAATTGAAAAGGTGAAAATCTAGAAATCGAAAAATTTAATAATCGAAATGTTGAAAAATCTGAAAACCGAAATATGGAAAAATAGAATAAAATTGAAAATCAAAATGTTGAAAAATCCCAAAACTGAAATAACGAAAACATGGAGAAATCGAAAAATCGAAAAATTGAATCGACAACCTGTAAAACTGAAAAAATGAATTGAAAAACTGAAAATCGAATTGAAAAAGTGGAAAAGTCAAAAAATCGAGAAATCGGAAAGACGAAAAATTGATTAATCGAAAATTCAGAGGCGCCAAAAATTGAAAAAGCAAAAAATTGAAAAATCGTAAAACAGAAATATCGGAGAATTGAGAGAAATCCAAAAATAAAAAGTTAAGAAACCAAAAATTAAAAAAAAAATGATAAATTGAAGAATAAAAAAAAATGAGCAATGCCAAAATTGATGTATGTATAGAAAATGAAGTGATCGAAAAATTGAAAACGGAAAAATCGTGAAATCGAAAAATGTAAAAATCGAAAAATTAAAAAGGTGAAAATCGAGAAATCGAAAAATTGAATCGAACAACTGGAAAATCGAATTCAAAAAGTAGAAAAGTAAAAAAAATCGAGAAATTGGAAAGACGAAAAAGTGATTAATCGAAAATTCAGAAGCGCCAAAAATTGAAAAATCAAAAAACCGAAAAATCGTAAAACAGAAATATCGGAAAATTGAGAGAAATCCAAAAATAAAAAGTCAAGAAATCGAAAATAATAAAAAGACGATAAATTGAAGAATAAAAAAATTGATATAGAGAAAAATGAAGTGATCGAAAAATTGAAAAGAGGAAAACCAATCAAAAAATTTAAGAATCGAAAAATTGAAAAGGTAAAAATCGAGAAATCGAAAAATTTAAGAATCGAAATGTTGAAAAATCTGAAAACCGAAATATGGAAAAATAGAATAAAATTGTAGAATCGAAATGTTGAAAAATCCCAAAACTGAAATAACGAAAATATGGAGTAATCGAAAAATCGAAAAATTGAATCGAAAAACTGGAAAATCGAAAAAATGAATTGAAAAACCGAAAATCGAATTGAAAAAGTGGAAAACTAAAAAAAATCGGGAAACTGAAAAAGACGAAAAATTGATTATTCGAAAATTCAGAAGCCCCAAAAATTGAAAAATCAAAAAACTGAAAAAAAATAAAACAGAAATATCGGAAAATTGAGAGAAATCGAAAAATAAAAAGTCAAGAAATCGAAAATTTAAAAAAAATATAAATTGAAGAATAAAAAAATTGAGCAATCCCAAAATTGATGTATGTATAGAAAAATGCAGGGATCGAAGGGGAAAAATCGTGAAATCGAAAAATTTAACAATCGAAATGTTGAAAAATCTCAAAACTGAAATATGGAAAAATAGAATAAAACTGAAGAATCGAAATGTTGAAAAATCCCAAAAGTGAAACAACGAAAATATCGAGAAATCGAAAAATTGAACTGAAAAACTGGGATCGAGACATTGAAAAATCAAATAAAAATTCAACACGGATTCATAAACCCCAAATTCAGGTGTCTTTTATCATCTTTCCAACTTAGACCAAAATCATTTTTTGCTTTTTGTCTTTCTTCTGTTTTAAATTTTACATATGGTGCTATGAAATTTTGCTGGATAAATTGTACACCTCTGTATATTTGTTTTTCTCATACCTAAGCTTTTGTAAAGTTTAATTTTTTTTCTACTTTTCTACCATGAGGGCTCAAATAAAAGGATTTTCTCAGATACACATCTATATACAACTTTCATGCATTTGCCCTAAAATCCGCTCTTTATTTATTAATAACACATGGAACATATTTGAACACAACAACTAAACAAAATAACACCGACGAAAAAATCACAAACCCCCCTACCCCCCCTAATTCCCATGCTTCGTCCTCATGTGAATCTTCAAACTATTCCTAAATTGGGCCCGAAACGAGCACAACTGGCACTCGTACCAGCCCTCGTCCTGGTGCACCGTCAAATGCCTCCTCCAGAACCCCTCGGACCTCGTCTCGAACCCGCAATCCGCGCACTTGTACCACCTCTCCTCCTTGTCGTGCTTGTTCTCCACGTGGTGGCGCAACCCCACCTTCTGCTTGAACTTGCACGGACACTGGTCGCACGCCCACCACGTCACCTCCCCCAGGTGCTTCTGGCGCACGTGCCGGTTCAAGCCGCTCTGGGTCTTCAGCTTGGACGAGCACAGCGAGCAGCTGAACGACTTCACCGCCTCCGGGGGCGTGTGCTTGGAGGCGGCGTGGGCGCGCAGCTCGTCGCGGTACCTGGCGCGGAAGCCGCACTCGGCGCACTCGATCCACTGGATGCGCTCGGGGGGAGTGTGGTGCTTGATGACGTGCTTGGTGAGGCTCTGCTTCTGCTTGGCTTGGTAGGGGCAGTGCTCACATTGCTGCCACTTGAAGTCTTCGGGGTTGGTGTGTTTGCACTCGACGTGGCGCTTGAGGTGGCTGCGCAGTTTGGCGCGGTAGGGGCAGTGTTGGCAGGGGAACCACTCGATGTCGGTGTCGGGGGTGTGTTTGAGGCGCACGTGGGTGCTGAGGACGAACTTGTACTTGAATTTCTTGGGGCAGTGGGAGCACTCGTACCTGTAGCGTAAAACGTGACTCTAATTAAAAATTAAGGCGGATTCAAAAACCACAAGTATAGAAGTATGTTTTTATGAATTTGGATCAGATTTACTATGAAGAAGTAAAATCGACAAATTGAGATATCGAAATAGCTAAACATCGAAAAATGGAAAATTCAAAATTGAAAAATTTAAACTTAAAATACCTGATAAATTGAAAAACTGAAAAATTAATTCCGAAAAATCGAAAAATGAGAACAAAAAATCGCATGACTAAGAAATTGTAACAATATAGTGGAAAATCTAAAATGTAAAAATACGAAAAATTGAAAATTTACAAAATCGAGAAATTGGAAAACGAAAAAGTTAAAAAATTGAAAAATGTAAGATTTAAAAAGTCGGAAATTTTTGAAAAATCGAACAAGTAAAAAATCAAAACAACCAAAAGTCGAAAAATCTAGCAATTTAAAAATTGAAATCATGAAAAATTCCAAAATTGAAAAATTAAACAGAGAAATCGAAACATTGTGAAATCAAAAATTGGAAAATTAAAAAATCAATTAATCGAGAAATCGAGAAATCGAAAAATCCAAAAATTTAGAAAAACTGAAAAATTAATTCTGAAAAATTGAAAAATCGAAAAATCTATAAACGAGAAGGCAAAAAGTCGAAACAACAAAAAAGTGAAAAACTGGGAAATCGAAAAATTGAAAAATGGAAGTGGCTAGAAAATCGCAACATTTTGAAAAATCGAATAAGTAAAAAATCAAAGAAACCGAAAGTGGAAAAATCTAGAAATTTAAAAGTCGAAATCTTGAAAAATTACAAAATTGAAAAATCCCAAAACTTAAACAGAGAAATCGAAACATTGAGAAATCTAAAAATTGGAAAATTAAAAAATCGATTAATCGAGAAATTGAGAAATCGAAAAATCCAAAAATTTAGAAAAACTGAAAAAGTAATGCTGAAAAATTGAAAAATCGAAAAATCTATAAACGAGAAGGCAAAAAATCAAAACAACAAAAAAGTGAAAACTCGGGAAATCGAAAAATTGAAAACTGGAAGTGGCTAAAAAGTCGCAATATTTTGAAAAATCGATTAAGTAAAAAATCAAAGAAACCGAAAGTGGAAAAATCTAGAAATTTAAAAGTCGAAATCTTGAAAAATTACAAAATTGAAAAATCCCAAAACTTAAACAGAGAAATCGAAATATTGAGAAATCGAAAAATCGGAGAATTAAAAAATCGATTAATCGAGAAATTGAGAAATCGAAAAATCCAAAAATTTAGAAAAACTGAGAAATTAATTCCGAAAAATTGAAAAATCCAAAAATCTATAAACGAGAAGGAAAAAAGTCGAAACAACAAAAAAGTGAAAAACTGGGAAATCGAAAAATTGAAAACTGGAAGTGGCTAAAAAGTCGCAATATTTTGAAAAATCGATTAAGTAAAAAATCTAAGAAACTGAAAGTGGAAAAATCTAGAAATTTAAAAATCGAAATCTTGAAAAATTACGAAATTGAAAAATCCCAAAACTTAAACAGAGAAATCGAAACATTGAGAAATCGAAAAATCGGAAAATTAAAAAATCGATTAATCGAGAAATTGAAAAATCGAAAAATCCAAAAATTTAGAAAAACTGAAAAATTAATTCTGAAAAATTGAAAAATCGAAAAATCTATAAACGAGAAGGAAAAAAGTCGAAACAACAAAAAAGTGAAAAACTGGGAAATCGAAAAATTGAAAAATGGAAGTGGCCAAAAAGTCGCAATATTTTGAAAAATCGAATAAGTAAAAAAATCAAAGAAACCGAAAGTGGAAAAATCTAGAAATTTGAAAATCGAAATCTTGAAAAACTAAAATGTTGAAAATCCCAAAACTTAAACAGAGAAATCGAAAAATCCAAAAATTTAGAAAAACTGAAAAATTAATTCTGAAAAATTGAAAAATCGAAAAATCTATAAACGAGAAGGCAAAAAATCGAAACAACAAAAAAGTGAAAACCTGGGAAATCGAAAAATTGAAAAGTGGATGTGGCTAAAAAGTCGCAATATTTTGAAAAATCGAAGAAGTAAGAAATCAAAAAACCGAAAGTGGAAAAATCTAGAAATTTAAAAATCGAAATCTTGAAAAATTACAAAATTGAAAGATCCCAAAAGTTAAACAGAGAAATCGAAACATTGAGAAATCGAAAAACTGGAAAATTAGAAAATCGATTAATCGAGAAATTAAGAAATCGAAAAATCCAAAAATTTAGAAAAACTGAAAAATTAATTCTGAAAAATTGAAAAATCGAAAAATCCATAAACGAGAAGGCAAAAAGTCGAAACAACAAAAAAGTGAAAAACTGGGAAATCGAAAAATTGAAAAATGGAAGTGGCCAAAAAGTCGAAATATTTTGAAAAATCGAATAAGTAAAAAATCAAAGAAACCGAAAGTGGAAAAATCTAGAAATTCAAAAATCGAAGTCTTGAAAAATTACAAAATTGAAAAATCCCAAAACTTAAACAGAGAAATCGAAACATTGAGAAATCGAAAAATCGGAGAATTAAAAAATCGATTAATCGAGAAATTGAGAAATCGAAAAATCCAAAAATTTAGAAAAACTGAGAAATTAATTCTGAAAAATTGAAAAATCGAAAAATCCATAAACGAGAAGACAAAAAGTCGAAACAACAAAAAAGTGAAAAACTGGGAAATCGAAAAATTGAAAAATGGAAGTGGCTAGAAAATCGCAACATTTTGAAAAATCGAATAAGTAAAAAATCAAAGAAACCGAAAGTGGAAAAATCTAGAAATTTAAAAGTCGAAATCTTGAAAAATTACAAAATTGAAAAATCCCAAAACTTAAACAGAGAAATCGAAACATTGAGAAATCGAAAAATCGGAGAATTAAAAAATCGATTAATCGAGAAATTGAGAAATCGAAAAATCCAAAAATTTAGAAAAACTGAGAAATTAATTCTGAAAAATTGAAAAATCGAAAAATCCATAAACGAGAAGGCAAAAAATCCAAACAAAAAAGTGAAAAACCGGGAAATCGAAAAATGGAAAAATGGAAGTGGCTAATAAGTCGCAACATTTTGAAAAATCGAATAAGTAAAAAATCTAAGAAACCGAAAGTGGAAAAATCTAGAAATTTGAAAATCGAAATCTTGAAAAACTAAAATGTTGAAAATCCCAAAACTTAAACAGAGAAATCGAAAAATCCAAAAATTTAGAAAAACTGAAAAATTAATTCTGAAAAATTGAAAAATGAGAACAAAAAATCGCATGACTAAGAAATTGTAACAATATAGTGGAAAATCTAAAATGTAAAAATACGAAAAATTGAAAATTTACAAAATCGAGAAATTGGAAAACGAAAAAGTTAAAAAATTGAAAAATGTAAGATTTAAAAAGTCGGAAATTTTTGAAAAATCCAACAAGTAAAAAATCAAAACAACCAAAAGTCGAAAAATCTAGCAATTTAAAAATTGAAATCATGAAAAATTCCAAAATTGAAAAATTAAACAGAGAAATCGAAACATTGAGAAATCAAAAATTGGAAAATTAAAAAATCGATTAATCGAGAAATCGAGAAATCGAAAAATCCAAAAATTTAGAAAAACTGAAAAATTAATTCTGAAAAATTGAAAAATCGAAAAATCTATAAACGAGAAGGCAAAAAGTCGAAACAACAAAAAAGTGAAAAACTGGGAAATCGAAAAATTGAAAAATGGAAGTGGCTAGAAAATCGCAACATTTTGAAAAATCGAATAAGTAAAAAATCAAAGAAACCGAAAGTGGAAAAATCTAGAAATTTAAAAGTCGAAATCTTGAAAAATTACAAAATTGAAAAATCCCAAAACTTAAACAGAGAAATCGAAACATTGAGAAATCGAAAAATCGGAGAATTAAAAAATCGATTAATCGAGAAATTGAGAAATCGAAAAATCCAAAAATTTAGAAAAACTGAGAAATTAATTCTGAAAAATTGAAAAATCGAAAAATCCATAAACGAGAAGGCAAAAAATCCAAACAAAAAAGTGAAAAACCGGGAAATCGAAAAATGGAAAAATGGAAGTGGCTAATAAGTCGCAACATTTTGAAAAATCGAATAAGTAAAAAATCTAAGAAACCGAAAGTGGAAAAATCTAGAAATTTGAAAATCGAAATCTTGAAAAACTAAAATGTTGAAAATCCCAAAACTTAAACAGAGAAATCGAAAAATCCAAAAATTTAGAAAAACTGAAAAATTAATTCTGAAAAATTGAAAAATGAGAACAAAAAATCGCATGACTAAGAAATTGTAACAATATAGTGGAAAATCTAAAATGTAAAAATACGAAAAATTGAAAATTTACAAAATCGAGAAATTGGAAAACGAAAAAGTTAAAAAATTGAAAAATGTAAGATTTAAAAAGTCGGAAATTTTTGAAAAATCCAACAAGTAAAAAATCAAAACAACCAAAAGTCGAAAAATCTAGCAATTTAAAAATTGAAATCATGAAAAATTCCAAAATTGAAAAATTAAACAGAGAAATCGAAACATTGAGAAATCAAAAATTGGAAAATTAAAAAATCGATTAATCGAGAAATCGAGAAATCGAAAAATCCAAAAATTTAGAAAAACTGAGAAATTAATTCTGAAAAATTGAAAAATCGAAAAATCCATAAACGAGAAGGCAAAAAGTCGAAACAACAAAAAAGTGAAAAACTGGGAAATCGAAAAATTGAAAAATGGAAGTGGCTAAAAAATCGCAACATTTTGAAAAATCGAATAAGTAAAAAATCAAAGAAACCGAAAGTGGAAAAATCTAGAAATTTAAAATTCGAAATCTTGAAAAATTACAAAATTGAAAAATCCCAAAACTTAAACAGAGAAATCGAAACATTGAGAAATCGAAAAATCGGAGAATTAAAAAATCGATTAATCGAGAAATTGAGAAATCGAAAAATCCAAAAATTTAGAAAAACTGAGAAATTAATTCTGAAAAATTGAAAAATCGAAAAATCCATAAACGAGAAGGCAAAAAGT